TTAAAGACACGGCAGGGGGAAATGGAATTTAATGCAGTGCTTCTTGTCCAATCTGAGACCCACTTCATATCGTATATCAAACAGGCAGTGAAGATCACTGATTTTAAAGAAATCAGATCTTAAACATTATAATTTTGTAATGGAAAGACAGTTCACTGGAAGTTCTTAGGCTGCCTGCCTGAAAATGTAAAGTCTGTAAACATGTAGCCCATTGGTAAAGGGGAGATGAAAATTGACATTAAAAGTCTTTGTGCAGCTCTGAATGAAAATGAAAAATTACAAATGAATTACAATTTCAAGCATTATTGTAGTAGTATTTTGTTATTGTTATTGTTGTTGTGAATACTAATGACATGTTATTATTGGTGTTATTATTATTTTTGTCGTTGTTGTTAGGGTTAGAAATACTGTTACCTTTGTTTTTCAGGTGAGGAGGTCTGAGATTAACCCAGCTTATAGTATCAAGATGGCAGAAGCCATCTTCCAAAACTTCCAAAATTTTGCTCACTAAAATCTTTTACTTCATAAAGAAAATTTTGATTTAGGTTAAGTAAACGTGTTAAATGTAGCTGTACAGAAATTTTTACTGATGTTTGCCAAACCAAAAACAAAAAAATAAACAAACAAGTAATTTAAACTTTTTTAAGTTGGATTTTCTGCAGTCTACTTAATAGTTTATTGAGATAAAAGTTGTAGTCAATGGTGTTTTAATTGTGTAAACTGTACCTTAAAATAAAGTGTGACCTATCAAACATGTATTATAAAGGGAAAGTTGTTTAATTATTGTTAACCTTTTTATTACTAATCCCTTTACTGGCTGTTTTTTAAGAATTGGTCTTTCAATGAATGGAATGGTTGTCTTTTTTATTTATTTATTTTTAATGAGCAAATCAGATAGTAGTCAAAAACCCACTTTCCCACTGACTTATTCAGAAGCGGCCACTGCATGAGTTGACACTCGACAGCTTTGCCAAACTCTCAGCAGGAGGTGTTTCCCAGTGTGTGCCAAGCAGTCTTTAGTTTGGCACCAGAGGGCACGTCTCTAACCCTCACTTACATTGGCCAGACCATTTTGCGTGTCTTTTGGTGACACACTGAACCGCTGCTCTCCCTGATTATGCATTTTTCATGACTACAGGCTTCCCAGGCATATTTAAGACTTTAGGACTGAACCGACCACATGTGTGCGAACTTTGTCGAGGCTCTCATTGACCCACTGGCATCGTGATTGCCCATCGCAGGCTTTTTGAAACTGCATAAGCACTGCCTTACATCCAAGACCGTCATTAAGCAAGTGCTGCACATATTTGAAGCAAGCCTGACAAAGCCGCAGTCGACTAGAATATGGTCATGTGGTTTCATACTACTAACTGAAGCTTCTGCTCTCTGACATCATGCCTCCAATTACAGTTGTTTGATTGCAGGCTGTCGAAAAAAAGCATGCTGTACAGGAAAATCAGGACATTTATCACTTGAAAGCTTTTTTTTTTCAGAAAAAGTGTGATAGAAAGTTTTATTTGCAGTGTATTGGATTGGATGATTTTATATGTAGATTTAAATAATGCTAACTTTTTTTATAATGTAATATACGTATATCTAGATCTATTGGAGATCTGAGAGGACTTTAATTTAAATTGAATTTAAATTTAATTGGTTTAATTTAATGTCTTGATCAAAAGGTTCCTTGTTGTTTAAACATTTTAGCCTTAATAATCTGACAAATTGCACAAATGAAGCAATATAACACACCTAAACAGGAAGCAGCCAAGTTTATACATTTTTGGGGTCTTCCAATGCATGTTTGTTGTGGTCTACACTATTTGCAGTCTGTTTCTGTACTTGAATGTGTTGTGAGAATTTGTATGTGTGTGTTGTCAAATTGATGTTCTCTCGCATTGGCAATGATTTTAACACGTGAAAACGTATTCCCACATGCATTTCTGGAGAGCGCAAATTATGTGGCCAGAGCTATGTATGTCTGCATTTCATCTTAAAATGAGTGCTATGGGGCAGTATAATGCCACCAACAGCTTCTGCTTCTTTTCGCACTACCAGCTGACCTCTTACCTCCGCTGTTTAGCTGGCTTTTCCGCTGATACCATTTTGCCTGATGGCTCACCCTGTGCATCAGAGGACTTAAGATGCAAAGAGGAGTTGACCGAAACGACAGGGTTTGAGTCTGGCGAAGAACGATCCAGAAAGCAGGTAAAACAAAAACAAAAGGCAAAAAATAAGATAAGCAAGTAAATGGGATGAGAACATGGTAAGAATAAAAAACATGGTAAAAATCAGACGACCACAAACACAGTAAATTTGAAATCCGGAAATTAACACCAATAGAGTTAATTTCAACACTTTAAAAGTGTATATATGGGAACCACCCGCAAAGTGTTAATTCAACACTTTCAAAAGTGTTGCCTCTTTAACACCAAAACAGTGTCAAATTATTAACACTATAAGAGTGAAGTATTAACACCAATGCAGATAATAACAACAACACTGCTACAGTGTTGCCTCTTTTAACACCAACACAGTGTCAAAATATTAACACTATAAGAGTGAAGTATTAACACTAACGCAGATAACAACAACACTGCTACAGAGCTAGGAGGAACTTTGTTGCAAACTCTGACAGAGTTAAAATCCTACACTGTTCAGGAGTGAACACTGTTCAAAAAAATAAATAATAAATAAATCACAATCTATTCAAGCTTATAGGAATCAAACATTACATTACTTAAATGTTGACAGTACTATTTAAGAAATGTTACTTTTTTATGGATAACTATATTAAGGCTTCTAAATTTTTTTATTTAAAAATAATAAATTCACTGTGAAGAAAACACATCTTACTACATTACTCTTTCAAAATTTTATTCCAACATGGAACACCAAGCCACCAATAAAATTACTTTACAAGTAACAGTCCAAAACAATATAAAATGAACTGTCATTGCCATATGTCATTTGCAAATCAAATGGCTTGTAGTAAAACAATTGTTCTGTTTTTTTTGAGAACAAGGCTGTGCTCTTGTGCAAAAACCCTGAAAGCATGGAGATGTTCAACAAACTCTGATTCCATACATGAGACCAAAAAATAAACTCCATCCTTGATCAAAATTTGAACAATCTTTCCAAAGACTGGTACATCCTCAACCAAATCTAAGCAAACAACAAGATTTTTTCGATACTCTGTACCATGACACTTTACCCAAGGAGTGATAGTTACTTCACTAGAGAGATCAATGTTGAGTTGCTCTGAAATAAAATCACACTTTTCAAGATCAGACAACAACTCATTTGAAACAGGACCAGATTCAATACCCCTCGATGTACAGGATTCCCAGTAATAGGCTATTGCCAGCTGGTGTTTTTTTGCAAGCGATTTGGTGAGGTTTTTGAAGTTTTTTAAATTTTTCTTAAAAAACCTGTGTTTTGCTTCGTACCTCATCGTCCATACATGAATCAATGGGCCAATTTGCCTGATGCATTCAGGGTAGTGAATCATAAGGTGATGCTTCGGAATCAGATTTCTAGAAGGATACAAGTCTTTGAACAACCGATGGTGCTCCACTATCAGATGCTTCAAAAATATGATCATTCCTTCAGAAATGCAATGAGAAAACACAATGTCAACAATTTGCAAGAGCAGCAACATCAAATGCCAGTGCTTATCTCCCTCTGGAACTACATCTCCAAATATGAGAGGGATGTTCCTGATGAGACACAATGTCTGACTTGCATTAAGTCCAATACTGTTTCCTGGGTGCTGAAGGTTGACCTTGGTTGGGCGGTTATTTCGGTCCAAAAAACCATAGTTGAAGGCATACAGTCTTTGAGGAATGGAATCACAAGGTATTAGACCGCAACTCATATATTCAAAAAGCAGTTTTACTTCATACTGTGCCACTCCCTCCAGAATATCATGCATAATGTCCAGCACAAAGTTCTCAGATACATTAAAGTAAGTCAAGGTGTTGAGTATAGAATTTCTTTTAATACCATAACAGGAGTTTTCATTAGGGTTGTCAGCAAGATACTTGTAATGCTTCTCATTTTGGTTTCGGTTGCGCAAAATCACCCTTGGATCATCCTCGCTAAATACTTCCTGGGCTAACACCTTGTCAGTAAGGCACAATCTGCAGTAATGTTTTGCAGAAAAAGATTCAACATAACCAAGAATACCGTTTAGACCCAGGTTATCGCCAGTAATTTGAGCAATTGTACCAAAAATGGGCTCCTCAGAAAAAGACACCTTCATTCCCTTCTGCTCAAGAACTTTAACATCATCAATCAATGGGCCAAGTATTTTGTCCATGCCATACTTTTTTCCATCTTCAGAATGAAATAAAGAAATTAGATGTATGTTCATCAAGGATGAATTTACATGTGATGGTAGGTTACGAAGCACAAAATATATACAGCCAAGTTTATGGATTCCTTGTTTAGATCCTAATGGATTAGCTGTTTCAAAATCATCATAGTAAATTTGGATCTGAAGTGCATTATTACAGATGGAGTACAATGGATGCCTTTTGTAATACTGCCCATCACAAAATTCTCTATACATGTCACTTTGCCTTTGTTCTTGAATCAGTTTACATACTTCCTCATTTCTAAAAATGAACTCCAGAGTTTTGAGCAGAGGGATGTAAATAAAGGTGTCATTAACTGTTGTTTGTTCATACATTCCAGAGGTCGTATTTCTTCTTGAATCGTACCTGACTCCCAAGTGAATTTCAGTGGGTTCAACAACTCCCCATTTCTTGCTGAAATATTTTCTCCATTTAGTGTCTGTATTAAAATCTGAGAATGAATTATGAAAATTATTAAAAACCTCTTCAACTGAACTTCTAGTTGTGCTACCAACAGGCACAACATTTAAAATGCTCTCCCTTAAGTTAGTATGGAAATCATTAACAAAATCCTCCATGCTTTCAATAACAGACAAAATTAAATTGTTTGCAACACCATTAGCCTGCAATTTGGCAATTATGGATGCACACATTTCCCTTGAACTATCCCTTGAAAGAGAAGAACATTCAACCACTTGAGCATCATTATCTGTCATTTGCTCTGTGTCAGACACAAGTGCTTCGTCAGGATTTGGAGCATGCTGATTTTGAATAGATATGTTACCACTGCTTGATGCCACACCCCTAAAATGAAATCTGGTTAAATGTTTTTTAAACCCTGCATAACTTTTAAATTGTAGGAAGCAACCATCCTGAGCACAAACCAACTCAAACTTCTTGCCAGGATACAAACTATGAACAAGTTTAAGGTGCCGAATTAATTTTACAGTTGTAGCAAACAGTGATTTACAGATGTAGCATCTAAACATCATTCAGTAATTTAGCTCTGAGCTCCTTCACCCTTGGGGTTTCACTTGTGCTGCCAACATCAATTCTGTACACTGTGGTCTGGAGAAATGTGAACAAACCTTTAAGTGGAGGATCATAACTGATACTGAACACAAAATGGACCTTGAACAGTTCATCGATTGCCGCTAGTGAAGAGGATTCTTGACATGGGATGAGCTTTTTGTCAAGCACAATGAAGAACTGACTGATGGCTTCCTTGCTGCTTCCTATGGCAAGAATGTAAGGTTGACGATTGTCTTCTGTCTCGAGGTGTTCCTGAATACTCCGGCATGCCTGATTGAGGAAAAAAAAAAGGCAAATTAAGCATTATCAGTTAACATTATGACTACAAAGTCAACATTAAATTGATTTTGCAATATTGCAAAAGCTGTGACTTAAATGTGTCATTTTGTCAGGGAAGCAATTCTGTGATCAGTTATAAATCTCTGAGGCTCTCACAGGTTAAGTCCAAATAAAACAAAGAAATGAAATCCATAGAGGTTACTTAATAAACAGAACATATAACCCTGATGTTTCAGATTTAGAACTGATTATAGAACCGGCTTTACTGGCAATATGTGCATCTTACAGTCATAGTTTGAGTCTGTTTAGCTCAATTGAACACTAAGATCAAAAGACACAGAAAATGATACAAGCGCCAACAAGCTTAATTCCAGTTTAGGTTTAGAAAATTTGATAAATCAAGCACTTCATATTACACTTATCTCATAGTGTATTATCAACTGGAGAAGTTAATGCATTAATTGAAGGTATAATGTCTACAGCTCTTGTATCATCACCAGTTACCTACCTTTTGAAAAACCACCAGATGGTCAATTGCCTGTGAGATGCTCATCTTCTGGATTTTCTTTCTTCCAGAAACTTGGGGCGACAAAAAATGCAGAAGTAGAAGAAAGGATGATATGTCACTGTCCCACTCTGAAAAAGACAAGTAAAAAGTTAAACATAGACAGTAAAATAACATTCAAAAGATTTTCACTGCACCATTACATCAGTTACATCTGTACCTGGGAAATCCTCTGCCTCGCTGCTTTCTTTGTTCTGTTTGGCAGATGACAGCAATCTTTTCAGCAGTGGAGTGGATGTCAAGGTTTCTGCTAGCTTGATAATCTTTGACTTGAAAACTGTTGGCCACCTTTCCAAGAGTCTGGAAGCCGTTTCTGACCCGAACAGGAGTGTAAAGTCCTGGAGAATCTGAGAAATCAGAAGAAAACATTCCATTACTATAAAATATTACAAGCTAAATGTGATGGTCACTATTTCACCACATCTGTGAAACTAACATTTCAATTAAATTTTTTTATATTTATAAATAAAATATATTTAAAAAGACAATTCATACCAATCCTTTCGTATCCAGAAATCGAGGAAAAACAGAGAGAATAGTGGTGGATTTCTCTGGATCACGCACAAGACGTTGTCTGTATTTAAATGTTGCCCTCATCTTCTGCATGATGACCTCACGGTCGCTTGTATGATTCATCAGAGAGATGGCCTCTAGACTTTGATCACTGTCCAGCTGATCTTCAGGGTGACACAGCTGTCGGTCAAGCAAAGGACCCCCCTTTTCCTCTGTTTTAGGATCATCTTTATTTCCAGAAGGTTTTGTCCCCCTTTGTACGGTTTTGAGTCGCCACGACAAGAATCCAGAGTTTTTCTGGCCATCATAAAAATGTTCCTGACATTAATAAATTCAAAAATTAATAAATTCAAAATGACACAAATTCAGATTCAACATTTAACACTCCATTAATATATATATATATATATATATATATATATATATATATATATATATATATATATATATAATGATCTTCTGACGACAGACAAGAACTTACATATCCAGTCCTCCCTTGGGGATCTCTGAGTGAGGGAAACAAGGTGATAATTCCCAAACCATACTTCTGTTTGGTAAGGCGGTGTGGAACTCTCCTGAAGAACAGGAGTACTCAATGTTACTTAACATTGATGAGAATTAACAAATGTTATTAAAATTTGTTCAATTAAATGTTTAAAAGATTAGCACTATTACATTTCTAGCACTCAACTTCACACTATACAATTTATAATCTATATAGTAGTCAACATTTGATGTGTATCAAAAAATGTTTTTCAAAATTGTCCTTTGACAAGAATGGGTGTAGTACAATAGATTTAATACTTTGATAAAAGATTTTGATTCATTTCAAATGTTGACTATTGTATACTGCTATAACCATAAAAAAACAACAACAACATTGTTTTTCATAATTACCCTTCTGTCTCCATCATGTGGGCTACTAGAATGTTCACCATAACTTTTCTTGTCTCATCAGTAATTGTCCCCGTATCTTCATACTCCCTCAGCACATTTGCTCCACCTGGTCTTGTCTCTAGAATTTGTTTGATCAACTATAAAAAGAAATTAGCATTAACATCCTATTATAAAGGTAGAAATGCAGGAATATTGAAAATGCCATTTAAATTCAATCCTGATCTGGAAAAGGTCAGTACTATACACATAATACATAAATTAATGGAACTGATTATGTAAAGCTTATGGTTATGATACTGCAAGTAAACCCCCAAAATTGTGTACTTGCACTCACATCTCTGGCCTGTGAGTTTTGTGAAGCCTCATCCTCGTCCTTTCTAAAGCGTTTTGGACTAAACCAGTCACTGTCCTCACTGCTTTTTGAAGTTAAAGAGAGTGTATCTGTATCAAAGCTGGCTGAAGATTGAGGTGTGGAGGGTCCTGTTAATGTTAAAACTGGGGTTAACAGGCAACAGGTTTTTTAATACTGGATCAAAATAAAAAGACAGGTCTAAGTACTTGTAAAAAAAAAAAAAAAAACAACACTCAATACTAGTTTACATTATGGGACTGTATTTCTACCCACATCAACACTGCCGACATTAAAAATATGGTAAAGTACTGAAAATTGGCAGCATTCACTTAGACACATCTTACATCATTCAATAGCTCCACTGTTATCACTCACCACTGTCATTTAAAGCATTTATAACAAGAAGCAGTCCACTGGTGCTCATTAGATCAGGAAACACATCTTCGTCCACCTCTGTACCAGTTTCATCTGTAACTGTAATTACAAGATCCTGTGGTAATGAAAACTTCTCTTTCACTGCAAAGGAGGGAAAATAAATATTATTGTTAAAAAACGTTTAATGATACGTATGATAGAGAAACTTTTTTTTAATAAATATATATTATTTTTAATACCACTCACCCTCTGCTAAAAATAAATCAAAGCAAGCCTCTGGGATTTTTATGAACTTCTTTTGGTTTCGATATTGTGCTTTGACAAGCATTGTCTTGACCTCTGGTGAAGCTCTTGGTGTGGAGAGAAATAAACACATTATATTTGGTTTATGTAATATAATTGGACTATAAATTGTAAGAATAAATAATTTTTCTATAAATAAAGACAACTTAAAGTTAACGTTCGTTGTTTTGCAGCACACTTACACGACAATGATATATTGGAGGGAGTTTTATGAATGTATTATCGTCTGTTTTGGACTCATTCTGACTACCGTTACGCGCGCTGTCTTCTTCTATTGTTTCCTGGCAGCTGTAATGTCTTAAGCTATAGCGCATTGACGGCTAAACCTTGTTATTGCAATCTCTTACATTCGCGTAAGATTATGCCCTTACATTAAAATATCTGACAACAGTTTTTGTCGATAATGTAGATTAGTCGTTTCATTCATCTGAGGTCTTGAACTGTGTGTTTATATTCCACAACGTGCGTTCTATCACCGAAGTGAGCAATCACTGACTTTCGTTGCAGCATTAAAAACTTACCACGGTACTTTTTAACAGCGAAAACTCTCACCGATCCACGGTCAGTCGGCCACCATTCAGCAGGAACCCAAGCATGTACCTTGGATTAAAACAAGTTATAGTAGTTCAGCCGCTGTCTTTGAAATGTGCACATTTACTTGTTGAACACTACAAGAAATCCACACGCGATAGTTCACCTTGAATAACGTTACCTGCTAAAATGGAAGCGGTCTTAGCGCGCGAGCCTAACTACACTGTGCTTATGTCCAGACATGTGCATACGGTAAATAAAATAAATAAAACAATCGCCGTGTGCGAGAATTATAATATAATAATATTAATATAAGCGTTATGGTGGCTTTACATGATTCATAAAATTGCTGATATAGGCTAACTTAATAAAAATCACGTCTGAATTATTTGGCTGTGTAACGCTTGATATACTGATCGTTATGAAAAAATGATTAAACTAAGATACAAAAACATATTATTTAATTTAAACAATGAATCTGTATAATAAGATTTATATATTAGACTTACCAACTTTCTTCCACTTGCAGCATTTGAAATGGCGTCTGCATGTGGTCTGGTTGAATCAAAAGGACGTCTGCACGTTCATGGAGGTGTGGCCTGGTTAACGCTTAAGGAGTTGCCTTTGCAACGATATAAAATGACACCAACTCTTAATCGAAACTGACGCTTTTGGTGTTTAACTCAATCTGTATAGCGTTGACGCAACACTTTATTTTAACACTTTGTTGTAACACCAGTAAATCAACACCGGTAAATTTGCTGTGAAGGCTTTTCTTTTTCTGGATTGCTTTTGAAAACACTGTCAGTTGGGTTTAGAGAAGGAGTAATCGTGTCGATCGGTGCTTTCGAAAACATTATCAGTTGGGTTTGGGGAGAGGGGTGGTCAGTCGATCAGTTAGTAAGTCAGTCAGTCGACAGTGGCCTCTGGTGGATTTACACGAGAACAGCAGGTGCAAATGGAACTGGCAATTAAAATTAAGGTCTCAAAAATGTACACAGCGGCCTCTGGCAGATACACAAAAACAAAAACTGCAAAAAAAAAAAAAAAAACATACCTCCAGGGACATATTTCACAATCTCTATAAATGTATGTATCCATTATGAACATAGGTTGAATGTTTTCTAAATGCATATATATATTTTTTTTTTTTACTTTGAGTGTATTTATAATAATAATTAATATTTCCTTACATTTATTTAGAGCTTTTCTAGGCACTCAAAGCTCTTTACACATAGGGGGAATCTCCTCACCCACTACCAGTGCGCAGCATCCACCTGGATGACATGATGGCAGCCATTTTGCACCAAACCGCACACCACACACCAGCTGATTGGTGCAGAGAAGACAATTATGATATGGAGAGTGTTAGAAGGCCATGATGGACAGAGGCCAGTGGGCAAATTTGCCTGGATGCCGGGGTGAAACCCCAACTCTTTTTCGAAGGACATGCTGAAATTTTTAATGACCACAAAGAGTTAACGTCTTAAACTTAACGTCGAGTTAAGTTTAATGACCTCAGTTTAACGTCTCACCTGAAAGACGGTGCTCACTGAGCAGTTCAGAGGCCCTGTCACTATACTGGGGCGTTATGACCCACACAAACCGCAGGTTGGGCGCCACCTGCTGGCCTCACTAATACCACTTCCGGCAAAAACATAGCTTTCGGTCTTCCATCCAGGTACTGACTGATTTGAGCTTTCTTGTCCATTTAAAATGACATTTGTTTTTGTTCTTTCTTTAGAATTTGTGAACATAAAACAGATTTTATTTAAAATCAGAATGATAATGATCATTTTTCTTCTTCTCAGTTACTTTTTAAAGTTAAAGTTTGATAAACATAAAAAATGATAGGATGAAACCTAAATTTGCATGTTATAAACACATGCATTCAAAGCAGATCCGGCTTTTAAAGTTGAAGTACTATAAAAGTCTTAGTGCCTAAAGAAACAATGACACTCCTTATGGGAAAAAACTGATTCCACATGAGCGAACGCGTCCCTTGATTTTTAACTGCTTCCAGATATGCTACATAAGTGTTCATAGTTTCTAAATCCATAACATTTGTAGTACATTTGTTCGATCAGAGCCGAGTCCCATCTAAACACATCTGAGCAAACTGTTGGCATGGCAGGTGGCCAGTTTTGCAAAGGCTGTGTGCAAATGGCTTGTTTTCTCTATTTATTGATTACAGATACTGCATGTTGTCTAAACGAAAGGTTCGTTTTCCTGTACAAGGCACCACCACAGTGATCTTAAAAAGTACAGTTTTTCAGTTTTATTTTATAATTAATGTACTGTGCTTTGTAGATGCAACTTATTGTGTCTAAACACAGTGTCTCCAATAGATCAATAGGTACTGCGCACGCTTAAGAGACTAACACAGACTTTATTCACCCCAATGGAAATGGTATTTATATAGTCTGAATTGTTTAACCCCTAATGTGCATTACCTGTCATCCACATTATAGCATGCAGCAATTCTCCAAATTAAAGACAGATTTTAGTTGTAGCTTTATTAGTGTGTAGGGGCTGACAGAGAGCATGTAATAGGACCCTTAATATAATCTTAAAGGAAGAGTCATGTCATCAAAATCATGGATTTGTATAGGCGAAAGTAAGAGACCGTATGTATATATATATATTTCAGATTACAACAGATTATAGAGAACCATAAGTGCAACATATTTATAATGAAAACAAACATACAAATCTTCACTGTAGTAAGGTTCGTTGTTATTGTGGGACGAAGAAGACAGGGTCTGCGATTCAGGTGAGTCAATGTTTTTATTTCAGTTTTATAGCCACAACACGTGCAACTGTGTGTGTGTGTGTGCGTGCGTGCGTGTGTGTGCTCTCTTCCGACTGCTCCTTCTCTTCTTCTTAAGAAGGGTGTCTCTCCAGCTCAATCACTAGAATAAACAGGTGTTATTATTTCTGATTGGCCTGCTAATTAGCCGTCGGGCTCTGAGCATGCTCTCCCCCCTCATTGTGTTCGATCTTGCTTACCTTTCCACAGTCACCTTGGAATTATAACATTCTATCTGCATTCTGAATAACTTTCAAGTTTGTAAAAGCAATAAACACAGATCAAACATCTCATATTGAATGCAAGGTTCAGATCTTTAACTATAAAGTCCAGCATGATTCGTTGTTCGTTTGTAGTTTGTTTAATCTTTTTGTTGTCAAGACTTGAATAAAATTAGCCAGTTAGAAGCAATAACTTCTTTCCCCTTTTTTAATTTTATTAATTCAATCTATGTTCATTAAACTGAACCTTTGATATAAAAAATATGATGGACAGTGATTTGTGATGCAGACTAGTAACTGTCAGCCTTTTTTTAAGTATCAGCAAAAATCCAATTATCAGAAACAATTAATTTGATAATTATTTTTTCATGTCAGGTAACAAGTAATCATTGTATCCATAATTTGTAAACATAAAACCTCTAATGAGGATTATGATCTGTTTTAGTGGAGTTTTTTTATAAACTAATTTTGAGAAAATCACGTTTATGATTGCTTGCGGCTGGTCCTGCATTATCCAATGCATGATTCACCAATCAGATGATTCCTAAGCCACTATAAATACCGTTAAGTTCCATAACAGCCATCTAGGTTTTGAAGAATCTACACATTCTCCCCATGCTCACATGGGTTTCCCCCAGATACCCCGGTTTCCTTCCACCATCCAAAAACATGCAAATTAAGTTAGTTGGCAAACGGGAGGGAGCCCCAGGCTGGAGGATCTTATAAGCTGAAGGCTTTCTCATTGGATAGCATGCCAGAAAAGCTTTATTGTCAATCATCAGCTAAGTGTAAACTCTGGAAATATATTTAAATGATAGTTACAAAAAGCACTTCTGTTTTACACTAATTATGTAATTTAAAAACTTTCAATAGACTGTTACTTTTAGTATAAACTGTATAGTCAATGTTATCACATAATACATAAAGAAAACTGCCTATCGAATGCTTCAGGAATGATTATGAGAGCAAGATAGGAAAATGTACCAAAAATGATAAAATGACTCAAGCTACTGGAGCTCTGTGGATCACCAAGAATGCAAATGGAAACAAAGCTTAAACCACATTGGTAAAGACCATGGAAAACCTGTGCGATTTCTTTCCAGCCTGCCTGTTCCATCACAGTATTGGAAGCAGATGCTTCAGGACAAGAAATGTGTCAGTTGATGAATAGGGGAGGATGGCCGTGAATCTCCTGTCCCAAGTGTTACATTAGATATAGGAGAACCTCCAACACTCTCACATCAGTGGTTTTGTTGTACCATGTAGACTAATATGGGCGTCACGGTGGCGCATTGGGTAGCACGATCAGCTTTCCCCACAGTCCAAAGAAATGCACTGTAGGTTAATTAAATAAGCGGAATTGGCCGTAGTTTACGTGTGTGTATGGGTGTTTCCCAGTGTTGGGTTGTGGCTGGAAGGACATCCACTGCGTAAAACATATGCAGGATAAGTTGACGGTTTATTTCGCTGTGGCGACCCCTGAGTAGTAAAGGGATTAGGACAAAAAGAAAATGAATGAATGAATGGACTAATATATAAGCAATTTATTTCACATTCTGTTGAAAGTTTTGATTCTGATTGGCCGAAATGTTTGCAATAAAGTTGCTTAATGCACAAGTAGTTCCAATCAGCGTTCATCACAGCTGGAAATTAATGTTCTAGCCTCAAACAACAGTAGTAACCATAGCAACAAACAGTTGACAGAGCCTTCATTTTATTCCTCTGTGAAATTTAAAGGACATCGACATTTGCTTTACCAAGAAGTTGATGAGTACTCATCAACTTTTAAATATGCCACAAAATATTTGCAAAAAGATTACTTTTTTTGAGCTATTAGATATGCCCATGCCATTTACATGCACATAGATAAACTAGGAGATCTAACCAACAATGGCTCATTCTAAAAACGTACTACATTTCTAGAGAGCACAAATTATGTAGCCAAAGCTATGTATAGCTGCATTTCATCTTTAAAACAAACGCTATGGGGCAGTCTGATGCCACCAAACACTTTTGTTTCTTTTCACCCTACCAGTTGACCTCTAACCACTGTGATGATGGCGTAAGCAATGTTAACAGTTTACCTTAGTAGCTCGCCATGTAAATAAATTGGTCAGTCGTTTAGTCAGTCAGTCGACAGCGGCCTCTTGTGGATTTACACATGAACAGCAAGCGCGAATGGCACTCACAAGGGAAATTTGAGATCAGAAAAAGAGGACATAGCGGCCTCTAGTAGATTGGCAAAAACAAAAACTCCAAAAAACATTATTTACCTTCTACCTTCTGGGACATATTTTGCCATCTTCAGAAATGTATATCTAATGTAGATCTAACATGTCATAAATGATAAAAACCTATTTAAAACTATATTATTATTGAGTTCTATATTATTAACTCTATATTGAGTTGTTTGTCTGTGACTAAATAAAACATAAAAAGCACAATGCAAAAAGAAAGCGTTTTTTTTTTTTTCTTGTATCTTAAGACATAATCAAAGGATTGTCATGTGTTA